ACAGCCACAGCAGCCACGGCAGCAGGCACAGAGACCGCAGCAGCAGCAGCAGCAGCAGCGAGGCAGGAAGCAGGCCAGGGTCTACGCGGTCGACCAGGCAGAGGCAGCACAGCAACCAGGTACAATGTCCGGGATGATCGTTCTTAATGATGTTCCTGTATTCGCTTTATTCGATACCGGAGCCACGCACACCTTCATCTCCCGACGGTGTCTCGACGCCATCGGAGTTCATGCAGTTACCGCTGTCGATCCTCTCGAGGTCAGTTTAGCCTCGGGACGAAAGATAGTGACCGCAGCCAAAGCTACAGACCTTAGCCTTTCCATCGGTGGCCGAGTATTGACCGCCGACGCGTTCGTTCTCGAGATGAAGGATTTCGATCTGATTCTCGGGATGGATTGGCTTTCTTTCTATCATGCTGATATCAGGTGCCATGACCGGGAGATTACTCTCTATCTTCCGGGAGACGAGTCGATTACTTTCTTCGGCTCCAAGAACCGTTCCTTGCCGCATGTTTTATCGATGGCGAAAGCCACTAAGCTATTGCGACGAGGCAACTGCCAGGGTTACCTGGTAAGTCTTGTTGAGGATTCTCAGAGAGCGCGGACACCTCATGACGTTCCTATCGTTCGCGAGTTTGTTGACGTCTTTCCAGACGAGTTACAAGGAGGACCGCCCAATCGACAGGTGGAGTTTTCCATCGATCTTATTCCAGGAGCAGGTCCAGTATCTAAAGCCCCTTACCGCATGGCACCTAAAGAGTTACAGGAGCTTAAGACTCAGATCCAGGAGCTTTTGCGACTCGGTTTTATCCGACCGAGTGTGTCACCGTGGGGAGCACCCGTTCTCTTTGTGAAGAAGAAGGACGGATCTATGCGAATGTGTATCGACTACCGGGATCTTAACCGGTCGACGATCAAGAATAAGTACCCGCTTCCCAGGATTGACGACTTATTCGACCAGTTGAGGGGAGCCTGTGTATTCTCGAAAATTGATTTACGGTCAGGCTACCACCAGCTGAAGATTAAGGAGTCAGACATCGCTAAGACCGCTTTTAGGACTCGTTACGGCCATTACGAGT